TCCCCACCATGTGTCTGGAACCATGACAAGATCAAGGCAAAATTTATTTGCAGTCTGGATCTCAACAGAAACTGCCATTTGGTTGTCCTTGAATGACTCTGTCCTGGAATGCTACAGCTGTAGGTAAAAGCCATCACTTTACAGCATTCTCCTTTTTGATTTTTTTGAAGCTGCTCATCTGAGGACAAATTTTCACCTCAGATGCTTTTGATAGAGCAGCTAAAATTTAGGTCTATTCTGTTTGCCAATAAGATACATGGGGAGACTTTTCCTTCCTTAAAAAGCTCAAAGAATTTTTTTAATGTATTTTGGTATGTATGGTGATTATCAAGTTCTATAAGAAAATTAGATTCATGTAAATAAAACATTAAAACAATGAAAATATAATAATTCACTAAGACACTACAGAAATCTCTGCATATCTGTCCAAGTAAGTCACCACCATGAAAAAAACCCACCAGCTGCCTTCCGTTTGCTGGCAGTATCTCTAAAGGACATAAGGCCCTAGTGATTAACTCAGTCTCAAATGATTTCACAAATATGGCAGTTCAGATCTTAAATAATTTAGTAAATATGAATGTGATTTTATTGGTTCAGTCAACATAATGAACCGCAGTTTAATATTCTTTATTGCTTGCAGACAAACTGCACTATTCATTCACCAAATATCTGATGGGAACTTGAAAAGCAATGAGATATCCAATTCATTTTCTCAAAAACAATCAGAAAGCTCAATTTAAAAAATCAAGTATATTATTTTTAAAATATTTTTTCCTAGTAGAAATTATATTAGACAATTTTCATAAAGCTAGGAAAAAAAATAAATATTGTACGTTTTAAATTTCATATTCCTAGAGGAGAACTTTAGATTACTAAATATTTCATGAGCTATTTATTCTTAGTAGTCAGCTTGTATTTCTTTAAACCTGGGCAGATAAGCAGGCATCCTTCATTTGTGACAGCTGTTAGGAACTAGTTGACTCATTGACTATTGACTTATTTTCATGACTGATAGTAGAAAAATAGTCTCACCCTACCCAGAGGCAGACACAACTAACAATCAGTTAAGGGATTTCCCTGGCCATTGCTTTGGGAAAAGGCCCTACATGTCTAAGTTCTCCCACTTGCAAGCTCCAGTAACCCTTATTAAGAAAATGGAAGAGGCTCCAATCTCAGGTGCTGAACCTTCAGTGCTTTCTACTGAAGGTTAATACCCTGGTAGTAGGAGCAGCAGAACAGCTGCTCATCCCTGGCAGGTTACAGCCTCTGGGTTAGCAGAAACCTCTTGATTTGGGTTCCTATTATTCCATGGAACCACAAAGCAGTTGCACTGCCAGGGCTGTTGCCTCTACATGGGAAGCATCCAATAGAGCTCTGGGCAGTTATGCATGGTACCTGCTGTATTTCCTGGACTCAAATCATTGCCCAGGGCATCAAAGCAAAGACACAACTGAAAGACTGATAACTGAAAGAAATAATTCAAGTAGGGAATCGTAAGTAGCGTAGCCCAAGGAGGAAGTTACTGCAACAAAAAATAACCAAAAGACTTTCAGAAGTGCAATGAAATAAGAACTTATTTCTCATGTTAATTCTCCTCCTGTTCAAGAAAGCAGGACATTACACATAGGCATCATTGCTTCAGATAAGCATGGCTTCATCACCAGTTTACTCATCCAGAAAAGGCAATCAAAAGAACCCTCCAGGGCTCCAAATTTTGGCTAAGCATTCAGGTTTAAAAAATCATAATATTATTTTGCTTGACATAGACTTATCTTTTTCTTCAGGTACATAAAACTTTGGCAGAAGCATTGCATTTGGAAACAGCTAAACTAACATTAGAAATCTGTTGAGAGTCAATTAAGATCTTGAAGCTGAGCAAAGAAATGTAATGGCTATATATTTTGTTCTAGAACTACTTTATTTGCACTTTGTTACTTTTATAAAAATTTATCTAGAAATCTACCATGTGTGAGACAACGCATGATTGAGGAACTTCACTTGATGTATAAAGGATTCAAGGTCTATGCAATGTTATAGAAAAAACAGTCTGGAGCTCCAGTAGGTAGAAGTGGTTTGGAAATTGTATGGTATATTAAGTTAGAAAAACAACAGCAAACCATAGAAAGACCATATTTTACCCTAAAAGAACATTACCAGTAACATTCCTGAGTATTAATTTTCTGATAACTTTGGGCTGATTTTGCAAATTACAGGCTGATGTATTAAGAAAAACTGAACTTTGTGCTGGTCATGCTTAATCTACTGTGCTGCAATCTGTAATAGTTCAGCTCCTTCACAAAGAGCTGAGCTTTCCTTCCAGTGGGAGCAACAACTCCTGAGAGAGGGATGAGAGGCACCCAAGGAAAGCCGTCTTCTTCTGGCTATAGTGGTTCACTGAATAAAACCCACTGCTGCGAAAGATTGGTATTGAGTTGCTTAGTCTATAGGATATAAACATCTGATACTGAGATGGAAGGAACTGGGCATTTTATGGCATCTATCTGTCCTTCATCTCTTACATCAACAGCAGTTTGATTGTGTTTTTTTCTAGTCTTTAAGAATGAGGAAAAAAATTATTTCTAAGTATGCTTCCTAAAGATCCATCTCCTTAGAAAATTATTATCAAATCTAATTCTGACTACTCTGAAATTAAAACAGTACCTTGTTTAAAATTTAAATAATATGAACTTTAAGATATACTCATGATTTTTTTGGTCTAACTTTCAGTTAAGAAGGAAGCAAACTCAAATTTCCTTGATTGACTTTTAAGTAGTTACTTCCAAGTTGTTTTCAATGCATGTGTAACAGTTAAATAGAGGTAAAATAATCTATCTACGTATTGATATTAAAATATAAGTACTTTAAGACTCAAGGAAATGAACACTCTGCCTCTGCACAACTAAATACATTTTTTAGACAAGAGAGACTGATGTCTGCAGTTAAAACAACAGTATTAGAGAAATTCAGGCCAGGAAGAATGGATCTAATCTAAAGCCCCCTGAAATCAATGAGAGGCTTTGCTTTAACTCCTCTAGGCTTTGGCTGCAGCCCCAAGTAATTATTCAAGTTGGACTTTGGCCACTGATACTAACACCATCTGCTTACAGGAGAGTACCATGAAATCTTTAATTAACACAAATCGTGAAGGCCTCAGTTCTGTGTCTTATCTAAAAAATGGCACCCTTGAGAGTGTACTGTTGATGTGTACCTTGCTGAGGACCTCACTCCCTGCCGTCTCACAGGGAAGTGTGTTATCTACTGTGTTGCCAGCACTATCTTTTCCAAATACGACCAAGTTTCAAAGCCACTGATTTTCCAGTTGAAGTTCATATGCAAGTATATGAACGAAGTTTTACTTTTATTGATGGTGTTGGATAAAAAAAATAAATATGCAGCAAATGGATGGAAAGGGAGTATTAAGGGGTTTTTTTTTGTTAGAATTAAATTTTAAAAGCAAAAATAAAACACATAAAAGGGAAAAAAGAATATGACATGCATGTGGAATAGCTACTTGGAGAGCAGGATAGTCTGACAGTTCAGGATTGGATTTGTCACTATTTTTCTATTTTCAACTTTTCACAAAATCTCTGAGGTAAAACATTTAACCTTTGTCTTCCTCAGTTTCCCTATCTGTGAAATGGTATTAATGCCAGTTATGCGGCAGGAATTTTCCATTCTGAAATACTGCATTGAAGTGTTCAAAGGGAAGACAGTATACCAATCTACAAAGCCTTGGCATTATTCTGTACTGTCTTATGGCCTAGATAGTCCCCCACGCTGTGCAAGGCCATTGCTTTTTTACACACTCTTGTTAAGCACCAGCTTTGGAGCACAGACCACTTCACTGAGAGTAAATAAGGCAGAGTCCCTTTTGTACCTATAACTCATATTTTCAAGCCAAAAATGAAAAAGATGTGTCTGTCACCAGATGACGAGTATGTCTGGAGGACTTAAATATTGTTTCCTTATTGTAGGGATTAATGAAGTGCTGGCCCAGGCACTGCACAGCACTTAAGGACATGTTTAACTTTAAGAATCTGAGTAGAGTGATGGATTTCCATGGGAATACTGATGTGCTTAAAGTATGTGTTGTTGGAATGAAGTCATATCCTTTAGTAACGTGTGGGGTCACGCTACTTTTGTTTGTGAAAGTGAAGGAACACTCTCAGATGTTGCTCCTTCTACAGGGAATCTCCTGGTTGTTCAAGACCGGGATCCTCAAACATCTTGCCCTCCTGATTTCTCAGCCTAGACTCATATATGAGGTCTGTCTGCAATATACAGGATTAAGATCTGCACTGGTGTTCTAACATTAATTGTTTTCATGCTGTGAGGCAAAAATAAATTCAATAAATCATGACTCTAAACAACTGACTTCAGTAGCATTGATTTTTCTTCTTTTTTCCATTAATTGTGTCTAGCAACTTTATGTACATAGATATGAAAATTGTGAGATAATTCTTTACTAAAATAATAAACTTAAGTGAACATCTCCCTTGCACTAAGCCTGTAGGCTGCTCAAAAGGCAGTACCTCATGGAGGATGGGCCCAAGCTCTTTCCTTCTGGGGTTCTGTGGTGCTGTCTTAGGTGAGCATCTGTCCCAGATGACAGCACAGCAAGCTTGTCAGCCTCCATGTGCCATCTCTGGAGCATTCTTTGGCAACCTCCCAGGTACAGCTTGAGTCAGGGGCAACACCTGCAGCTGCACAGACCTTTACAGTGAGAAGGAATGTGCTGCGTTCACCTCTTGATAGACAGGATGTACTGTTAAGCTATTTGCATCATGACTTACTTCTGCTGGGGCTTACTCTGCCGTCTGTCACGTTTCATACTTTCTTTAATAGAATTTACCAAATGCCCTAACTGTGTAAGGACCATAGCACTGTTATTATAGTGTACATTTCAAAGGAACACAATGTGCAAAAGTGGACTTCCTTGATACAGAAATGCTCTAAGGTTGCTGTTGTAACTTATATTATCATGGTTTTTTGTTTTGCAGTTTTACTAAAGAATGCAAAAAAGGAAGAAGAAAAGCCTTTCAGAGACTGTGCAGATGTATACCAGTCTGGTTTTAACAAAAGTGGAGTCTACACTATTTTTATTAACAATGTGTCAGATCCTAAAAAGGTAAAGTAAATATTTGTTTTATTTTCTTAACATTTGTAGCTTTTATTGAAGTTCTCATTCTGCAAAATGTTGTACTGGTATAAATAACCTGGGCTGCATTCAGTCTTGAAAAAAATGCAGTGAAGAAAATGATAAACTGTATTATTCCAGACATTCCTCTTTCTCACTGACAGAGAATCCTTCCTAAGTTCCAACATACATTCAATAGTTGTCTCACTTCCTCCCACTTGGCAAGTTCAGTTGAATAAGACTATGCCTGAAAATAAATCTGCAATGAAGTTTAGAAGAGTAAAGTGTTATAATAAGGAAGCTAATGGGAGGGTTATCTAGTAGCACAGGAAAAGAAATGGCAGAATGAGTAGTTCTTAAAGATAAAGATTCACAAAAATCCTGCTTTTTTGGTTTTTTGTAGGGAGCAAGGAAGAGTGGGTTTGGCTGTAAAAAACACTATATGCTGAATATTTGCACTGTTTGAAAGCATGTATAGTCCCATTCTTCTAAAAAAAATACCTTTGTGATTTTCTTTTGATGAAAATGAAACTTCAGCCTGGAGGAGACTGATTTTTTGAAGGCTTTTGATGCTAAGGTACCTAAATCAGTTGAAGCTAGGAACATGAGATGATAATCTAAACCTAACTAATACATGAAGGAATGCTGACTGTCTCTGACAGAGCGCTATTGGGAGCAGCCCCCAACAAGGCTAAGAGCTTACCTGGGCATGAAAAATACAGTGATGTCCAGAAAGTGGGAAAAGAAGAGGGAGGGAACCACATGTGTCTGGAGAATTTATTCTTACTGCAGTAAAATGGTGACAAAAAAAAAAAACCAACAGAAAAAGGCAATAACAAATATTACCGATGTTATTGTCCATAGGCATTTCATAATGATATTAAGATATGTAAAATTTATTTCTAAACTGAATACTGTTTTATTAGAGGTCTTTGGAGGCCTGTAGATGACAAGATGTTATAGCTTACTAAGGACTTAAGGTTCATTAAACCATTAGCAGATTTGGGGTGGGAGAGTGCTATGGGCAAAGATCAACATAACTCTGGTGAATGTGCATGGAAAAATAATTGACATGACATAAAATACATAGACACCTTTATGCATTACTGAACAGGACCAGAACAATAAAAGCAGTTCTGTAGAAGCTGTTCAACTCAAAAGAGAATGTAACATCAACGTCCAAATTGCATGGCTTGTCTTAGACTTACTACAGTTCATAAACCATCCCTAGAGGCTGGGTTGCAGTGAAAAACAATGGTTAGCAGAAAGCACCATGGTATTGATGCTTCTGATATATTTACCTGAAACCCACCTCTCTGGTAATACGAGGACAGTGACACTATGGACGCCACCCTCTGTTTCCACTATATCGCTCTTTGCAGACACTGGGATCTCTCAATACAGGCAGCACAACTCAGCTGATATCATTGTATTATTTTTTCCCAGAGGCTTCCTGCCTTAGCAAGAAAATTGGCAGGGGAAAACAGGGGACAGAGGGAAAGTGTTGAAGGCATTTCTGCTACCACCTGTTCCTGTCTTGTCCTAGCGATAACACAGCAAGAGCTGATCCCAGGCACGAGAGGAGTGTGATTGCTTTAACAGATGTTTTTTCAGACATTAAGGTCGTATTAACAGTCTGCGAGGTAGCGCGGTGCAGAGATAGCTGAACTGGTTCCAGCTGAGATAGCTTCAAAATCACATCAGTGCAGGGCTATGCCAGGACTAATTAGCCCAGAGGTAGCACCATGTTGACACAGTTAGATTGCTCTGGGACCCAAAGTAATATCCTGATAGGTACTCCATGGAGACATACATGCTCGTTCAAAGCCAGCTTAGTTATCTGGATTACCACAATGCAATGCAAGACTCTGACATGCTTTAAGAGGCCTAATATATTGTTACTTTCTGTAATAGTTGTAGCCACTGGCAACTGTCTCATTTGTAGTCATTTTATACTTCAGGTCACAAAAATGTACCTTAATTTTATTTTATATTTTCTAAGGAATACTTACTAGAATCCTGACATTCAGTAGAAAATATTCCTGTGTCATATATACTAAGTTACTGTCAGTTCTGGGTTTTTTGTTCATTTTACCTTCATATATTCATAGAAAAGTATCCTCCATGCTTACAGCTCCATTTATATGCCTCATTTTTATATGCTTACAAATTTAGATTGCAATTTTTCTTTCATGTTCCTAGCTTCGACAGTTCAGTAGTTTAGTTCATTAGTCTTCCAACCCTGCATCAAAAGTTAGTGATCCATTTCTGTTTAAAAATATCTTAATAATATTCCATATTTTTAAGATGGGAAGAGAAAAAGATAGACTTGAAGTATTAAGATAATTAATTGTCTTACACTGATGTGTGTTTATGCAATGCCTGATGGTGTTGACAAATGATTGTCCCTAAGCCATAGTGAGACCAAAGTCAAGAAGAGTCCTCTCAGTCTCCTACAGAGGTGGGATCAGCTACAGAGGAAGCAGGGGCTACTGATGAGCAGAGGAGTGAGATTGTCTCCATTTTTGGAGCTGAAGGAACCATACGTACTTCAGGAGCTGAAGTAGGGCAGGGGGACTGGCCTGAGCACTCACAGAACCTCCATATCTCCCCTTGGATCAACATATTGGTCTCGTTTACTGTGTCTTTTAATGCCCTCACAAGCATGACTTCTACCAACTTCTGGCTGCACCGCAGTGAAACTATGATGTTATTAATTGTTAGTGGAGTCTATATATTTGGGTCTTTATGGCTTGGCAAAAGCAGTTGCCACCATTGCCATGAATGCAGCCTTCACTCCTTCTACTTTACATTCTGCCTGTGGACTTCCCACCAGGTTGGTGTCAATAGTCTCTCTGAGCATATCTGCCAGAATTTTAACCTATTAAACATATGCTAGCTTCATATGTTTGTAGAAGCTGTTGTCCCCACATGATTACCTTCAGGCTTGGTTTCTGCGTAGCAGATAAACATTCTCTGGGTCTCAAATGGCATTGCCACTTATCACATCACTACATGCCCTTGTAAAAAGTCCTTCTCCAGCTTTCCTGTAGGCCCCCTTCAGATACTGGAAGACCACTGTAAGGTTTCCCCACAGCTTTTTCTTCTCCAGGTGGAACAATCTCAACTTTCTCAGCCTTTCCACATAGGAGACGTGCTCCACCCCTCTGATCGTCTTCATGGCCCTCCTCTGGACCCATTCCAACAGGTCCATGTCCTTTATGTGTTGGGGGCTCCAGAACTGGACGCAGTACTCCAGGCAGGGTCTCACCAGAGCAGAGCAGAGGGGGAGAATCACCTCCTTCGACCTGCTGGCCAGACTTCTTTTGATGCAGCCCAGGATACAGTTGACCTTCTGGGCTGCAAGCATGCATTGCCAGTTCATATTTACTGTCAAAAAACTCAGAATCTAAAGATGCATACAAATTCAAAGTCCCTTTTCTTTTCTGGGAGAGGGTTAAACATCAGAACATGTTTAAAGGTGTTTAATGGCTGAGTGCCTTGACCTTGTCTGGGACAGAAGCCAGTCCAGGACATTTGTTGGCTAAAGCTGTGCACAATGAACATCTATAATCAGCTTGGCACTCCTGTTAATACAGCAGGTGTTTGTGTCTGCCACCGTGGAAAGTGCCAGACCACACAAAGATGGCTAGTGAATAATGCGCTGCTGTAAATCTTTTTTTCACTGTGCAGTTTTCTCTTTTAATTTATTATATTATTCAGAAAACATCAAAGTCTTTTTATAGGTATTTTATTGTGTTTTAGTATGAAAACCCCATCCTTTGTGCATGTCTTTAAAATGCGTAGTCTTAATACAGTTGAGGATTTAATGCTTTAAAAATTGGCAGTGGATTCATGGGAGCATGAAATGACTTATAAGGGAAGTAAATCCATCATTTAGAAATTCTCGCTGTAAATCGGACTAAAGAAATTAAATCCTGTAGATAAATGTTTTGACTCACAGTGTCTTCCCTAAAGGAGGAATAGGGCCAAAATGTTTGTGTAGCAAATTGTGGGTTTTCTTGTGGTTACCCTAAATCGAGTTCACATGTTTGCAGTGTTCGGTACTCTGTTTCCTTCCTGTACCTACACAGCGACTTCACTCGGCACGCCTGGAGCAAATTAAAACAAAAGCACTTGCACAGGATTACTATGACAATGCTTATGAGTAGGAAAGACTTGGAATCCGCCTGAGGGCGGAATATGGTTCTCTAGTCAACCGAGGGATGAATTTTTATTTAACCTACTTGGATAGTAACATTCAATTTGGCAAAGCGACTTATAGCCTTAAATTACCGACCAGTGCCGAATGGATTGACTCTTGATGACGTGAATGCCAAAAGCTAAGCTGATGGGTGACACCTTTTCAACCCTCTTACATATTGACATCTTACTTAAAAAGAGGGATATAACTATTCAAAAGCACAGAGAAATGAAATTTAGTATAGTTGTAGTGCCAATATGGCAGAGATGAGTACACAGGGATGAAAATCAGGAAAATTTGCTTGAGTGAGTCGCACTGAGAAAATTAGTCAGATCTTAAAATCAACTGTCATACAAAAATAGTAACAAAATTGAATAGTATCCCTTGCTACGTACCAAGAAAAGTGAATGGATAACCAGTATTTGCATTTTTTCATAAATTATCTTCTGTATTTTTGAAAGAATACTGTAAGAAGAGTGAAAACGAATGAAAATTAAATATCCATTTTGATTATTATATGGATTATTTAAGATTGTTAACAGATTTCAGTTGGCGCAATATTCTACCGATCTTCAGCAAAACTGTCAAATTGTTTCAAATTGTTAGAATTTTATTACTGTAATGATGGCAGGGTATAATCTTACGTGTTCGGTATAGGTCTTGACTTCTGAGCTTGTCCCACAGACCTCTGTTCTCAAGCGTGCTCCCATCTATGTCCTCTCTCAGCTGTAGGGCAGCTTAGACTGAGACCAGCTGTTTCTATTTTGGGACATTGCCTGGCACACTGTAGGTAACATTACAATACATAGCAAAATAGAATAATCTCCTGTGTGCTACATTTTGGACTGCTTTAATCGTTATTTTATGTAAGAATTCCTGAAGATTCTTTCTTAGACAGAATGACTTTCTGCTAAAAGCTATAGAAATCATTATTGTCACTGAAAAAAAATACTCATTTACTAAGAGGAAGGGAGTAATTTTAGGGGCACTGCAGGAAAAATAGAAAAGAAGCATGGAGGGAACGTGAGGAGGAAAACTGAGGATGCAGAGGGGGGATCACGGGCAGATGTTCTTGGGTAATATGCTGAAAGAACAGGAGACATTACTGGAAGAATTATGCTGAACATAAGGAGAGTCTGGTTATAATCAAGCAATTGAGGATACCATTGAGGGCACAGAGCATGAATCCATAGGAAAACAGGCTTCCTTAGTTCCTTTATTCACAAACGTTTTTTCCCCCCTAAGATGACAGAATTCCAATGCAAGTTTGGTTTATTGATTTTTTGGGTTCTTTATTAGGTCTTTTGCAATATGGAAATTGCTGGAGGAGGATGGACGGTTATACAGCACCGAGAAGATGGGAGTCTGGATTTCCAAAAAAGCTGGAAAGAATACAAAATGGTAAGGTGAAAAGTGTGGAATAGCTATACAGTTCATAGAAGTGTTAGATTTCAAATAGTATTTCTTATTATTTTAAGCAGATAGTTCTGCCCATAGTGATGTGGTGTTGTCCTGCAGTCTTTTATGAACTAACTTTTATCATGCCTGTTACTTTCAAAAGTCGTAATATTCCTTTTACTCAATTAGTTGAGCATTATTTCCCATGACTTAGAGTTTCAGATCAGTTACTGAGATTAAAATGAGGTCAGGCCCAAGTATGTGCACTAAAGAATGTTAGTGCCTGCCCCTCCGAAGTTTTGACTTGCTGTGATGTTAAGGGGTAGTAGGTATGTGGTAATGTTCCTAGTGTATGGATGTTTTCAGCTGAGGGGAACTCCTTCAGAACTTGGAGCACCTCAGACAGGAATGAAAAGTTTTAATGGGGTTTATCCCAAGCCATACAACACCTCTGCCAATCAAGCCAATGTACTGGAAATGCTGATACTTCGAATAGGATCAAAAGAAAATAAATAACTTGCTAAATTACAGATGACATGATTTCAGCAGGCTACTTTCCCTTTGCCAACTCAAAAAAATTTTACTCCAATCTAAATAACTTCTAATTCTTTTAATTCACTCCCTGATCAAACTTTCTGATGAAGCTCCTTTCTCTTAGTCCCTCAGGACTGGCTTGGATTTCAGTGGCATTCCCAGTAAAGTTTTCAGAACTGTGTTGTTAACCTGGAAGACGAAAAACTTTTTATCCAACAGTTTTCAAAAAGTACTAAATGAAGAGAGCATTTAAAATGTCTAAAAATAAAAGCAAGTTCAGTTCAGTAAAAATTTCTATTGGAAAAAGTTCTGATACAGAATTTACCATTTCAGAAATAAGTGTAGTATCAGATTGTTGAACCAAAATGTAATTTTGGATTTTATGGATGCTTTCTTTTCAATATTTTATATTACTTGAAAATATATATCAAAGACGTAAAAACTGACCATTTGGGTCAGGCCTCTGCTGCTATGGATAACCAGAGCATGTAATCTGTTCATAATATATGTGAAATAAATATAATATTAAAATGACAAATAGATAATTTGGAATGGATTTTCAAAATTGGAAACATTTTTAGAATTCATAAAGTTTTAATTTAGCAGGAAACTTGAAAAGTCTGTTGCTCTGTTTTGGTTCATATATATAAAATAAAATGTAAAACATCAATTTATTTTGTGGAAATGAAAAGTTGAAGATTCTACTAGTTCTACTTATGAGGAAATTACAATTTGTATATGCAAACTTACTCGTTCTTCACATACAGGCTGTTTTAATTTATACATATCGTGTGAATTACTGAGATTATTGTTTTTCTCTCCTGCGCTTTTTCTTAGACTATTTAATAAGAATAACTCTTCTTTTTAAAGTTTTCCCATGTGGCCTTTTTTCATATATATCCCTTCACTTAGTCAAACATTTTCCTCAATTTTTTCTTTATAATGATGTGAGCCTGTTAAGGATTAGATTATGTTGGTTTTGTCTAGTTCAAGCAGTCTGAATTAATTTTATTTCTCTTTTGGAATGCCATAGTTTCTAAGAGATAGTTTACTTCTGCCAAATAAAAAGGTTTGGACTTTTAGTTATCCTATAAGTCATAAGACAAAATGGGATTTAGTCTTGTCTCTGCTTCTGTGAACCATTTCACCAAAGTATCTAGCTTAGTCCCCCTTCTGTGACTATCTTATATCACCAAATGTTAGATGATGGAGGTTGATGGATGCTGTGTGGATTACTGGAATACATAACAGTGTCTGAGCTTCAAGGCAAGGACACCACTAACTTAATTCCCTCATTGTTCAGTGTGAGTGTGCAGTGTCTATTGCACTGCATTCCCTTTCCTTCCTGACACATCTGGTTGGTGTTTCTTCCAATGGAAACCAGGTAGTGTGGTGGGGGACACAATGGTACTTGGTCTTACTTGGAGTGGTTGATCTTAATATGTATTCTCCCAGCCCATAGTTCAGAGACAGCTTTCCAGATCTGCTAAAACATTCTTGTGTTTATATCTCTAAGGCCCCAAATCTAACAGAAACAAACAATATCATAATAATACAACAATAAGAATAATAAGTCCCTGGGGCTTATTTTAGTTTCAGTTCATTTAGTTCTTATTAGAAAAGAATTTGGAAAACTATTGAAGTTACTCAGTTTCAAGCAAGTTGTGACTGCCAGCTGCTGAGCTGGGCAGGGGCTCAGGCCACCAACCTGCGATACTGCTAGTGCCCTCACAAATTATTGGCTGTTCCAGTTTTATAAGGCCTTTGTATATTTTCTCTGACTCTAAGCTGAGATCCTTACAGCAGGTAGCTTGAAAAGGGTACACGTGGAGTATTCTCTGTGAAGGTGTGACAACATTGCTGGCTTACAGCAGTCTCCTGGCACCAACTCACCCTGCTGGCAAAATTTGAAGCAATCATTGTCTTTGAATCAGTTTCAGGTTGATGTCTTCAGCTTACATGGAAGTAATTCGATTCCTGTTCTATATATTTTCCAGACACCAACACAGGAAACAGGTTGAGAGAGAGATAAAGTAGCCATAAATCTTTTGAAAGTAGGGAATATAGAGCTCCATCCACACATAAATTGCCACCAAGTCAGTGATACTACAATAATAGTGGTCCTAACATTTTCTGCTTGTTCTTTTGGCTCCATTTCCATGGGTGTCCAATCTCCACTCTGGAAAATAAAGTTTGAATACAAACCCTTTTACACAGATTTATTGTTATGGAAGATTGGTTATGCCCTCTTCTTCCTTAGTGGCATATGTGCTTGCCAGTATCGTTCAGTTTAGTTATCAGCCTTATGCCATGCAGTGTAATTTGTGCCTTTGCTTCTAAGAACTCATTTCTGACTATGAAATCTCTTGGGTCATGTCAATTTTGTACATTCAGTGCTAATTTAAAGAAATTCAAAGGAAACCTTGTGAGTCCATCCTCCCATCCTTTTCTTATCAGTATCTACTACATCTGTTCTCTCACATTTTGTGATGGATTATCCATTATAGTATCTGTTGCTTATCAGAAAAATCTGAAGTGAACAAATAATTTGTTTAACAACAACAGCTAAGATCACCCTGAAGCAGGTTTCACATTTTTCACATTTCCTTGCCTGAGGAGGGAACATAAAACACTGTTAGATTTTTGATGTCTAGAAGGAGAATATAATTTAAAAAACTATTGCTTACCATCTGCAAACCTGACCCCCTTTTAGAAGGAGGTTTCCACAACCCCACAGTTTCTGGCATTTATTAGACAGTCATTAGCAATAATGAAATCCAAGGAAATTATTAGCTCATGTGCTAACTTGGCAATCAAGATTTCTTGCTCAAATTCCAGCTTTTCAGTTCTTGGATGAATTCACCTTTCCCAGTCACTGTCTCCATTTTTGCCAAATTAGGTGATGGAGTATTGGATTCCCTATTCTCTAGCCTTTTAGCATGTCTAGTTTAATAATTCCCTTGAATTTCACAGAAGTCATTCCACACTCAATAGCCCAAGATTCACTATCAGTTTCCTAGGGGGGTTTCATGGGGCTCAAGTCTTTGGGGGCTTCCTCAGACCTTTAAAATTGTTTCTTGCTTTCTGTCATCGGAGAAAGACTCTCAATAGGTATTTAAAGTTATGTGCCTTGGCCAGCCCACATCATTCCTTTTCTTAGCCAGTTTTTTGTTTTGTTTTGTTTTGTTTTTTCTCTCTTCATGTCAGTATTTAATTGTATTGCATGCCTTTATTGCTACAGTGTAATTATATTCCTTTCTCTGATGAAATATATCTATCAATGTTTTAATCATTCATAATGTCATGGGCCTGATTAGGATCACTTGTGCATGTAAGACTCAGAGCTCGAATTTCTAAGCATTATGGCAACCACCTCCTATCTTTCTGACCAGCAGCTGGATTTTCTTTTGGTTCTTTCAGGCAAGAATGAAGTTGTAAATTCCACACCCCCTTAATCCCATGTTCCTGATTAACATCTAAGCGTCCAACACCAGTTCAGTGCTTAAAAAAAGTTTGCTGCCAACTTATCTCAGAAGTCATCACTAGTATTTGTGTGTGCCTGAAAATCACATCTACAAAACCACTTCCATTTCTGCTGGGGTTTCTTCTTTTTCGTCTCCCCTTAAAGCTGTCAGGTCAAATTGATGGCTAGCTCCATGGTGCCAATATGATACAATGCCAAAGCAGCATAATTTATATTCTTCCATGGCTTAAATTCTGCTGCACACCAAGAGCTGGACCACAGAGATGGTTACTAGAATTTTCTCAGGAAGTATTTCTGGAAGCAGTTCTAGTGGGCATTTACATTACATTATCTGGAACAATCTGACTTTCCCTTGAGCCTCAGTTAATTATAAATAGTATAACAAGTCTGGTGATCCATGTCTTCTGCTTACCTAAAAGACAGTTGAACACCTCTTCAGACTGTAAGTCTCTGATTTCCTCTAGGCATGATTTTTTTACCCTTTTTGATATACTTTCTACAGCTCACTCCTGTTAACTCTGATAGCTCTAGTTCGGACATAGGTCCCACCCATTTCCTGGAAGACCCTCTAGTTTGTAACAGTCAGGTTGCTGGTCATCTCATGTTTTCGCCTAACCAGTCCTTGCAAGTCCTACATGTTGCAAGTTGTGTATTTAAGTGTCTAGATCTACCTGAATTATTTGTAAAAAGAGCTACCAATCCAACAAAGATTTTATTTCTTAGTAACCGTCTTTCAATTTATTGTGAAAACTTCCAGATGTAACTTACATTTAACTGTTATTTGCAAAGTGTCCAGCTCCTGTTTTAGAATGTGGTCTCCTAATTCCTTTTATGGTCACCATCTGTTTTAAGTCATATTTTAATTTCTCTTGTGAAAGTTTCAGTTCCAGTTTTCAGTTTTGTTGTCATTCTTTCTGCCCACCTTTCCTGTCTCTAAATACTGGTGCTTTTTTGCTCCATATTGCTTCAGTAGCAATACTAACTT